GGCTTCCCAGCTACTCAGCATCAAGGCAGCAGAACAGCTGACTCCTTGCTGATTGGCCGGGAAGCTGGCTTCCCAGCCAATCAGCATCAAGCCGGCCGAACAGTCGACTCCCTGCTGATTGGCTGTAAAGCCGCCTTCCCAGCCAATAGTAGCTGGCTTGTGTTGTTGTGGACATGTGTTTTTGTGAATGAATGGCACTTCCCTTCAGTAACTGTCATTCCCATGAAAACAAGCCTGCAGCTTGATAGTCTATCTCCTCCGAATATAGCAGGAGAGTCTTGTCTCAGAAAATCTAGTGTTTTATGTACATGTAAGGGAGCAGAGGAAGCACAGACAGGACTGCAAAAATACATGGAGGGCTGCAGAATAAAGAGGAGGTTGTGGCTGCAGTGCCTTCTGCACCTCCCCTCCAGGAATGCCCATACTTTTGGCTACAGCAAGTGCTGGCAGTAATAAAAATGTAATTCTATTCCCTAACCAATGCTCATATTGGAACTGGGACAAGTGTGATATGCACTGGGTCCCTTGGAAGATTCAACAAGCATTTTATTATTGTGGCAATGCTACTTTTGTTAAGTTATTTTGCCTTCTGGCACAACACCATGCCCCCTGTTATTCAATTGTCAAATGCTAGAGCTTCTGTAGGCTGTACAAGTTGAATTACAGAGTTTGAGGCTTAATTGGACTTGAGGAAAAGCTGAGTTTTTTTGTGCAGCCTGATGCTAGCATCCAAGGGCATAAGTACACATTCAGCACTGGTGTTACCTTTAAAACTTTGTAGGTTAGGTCTGGTTTACTGTAATTGGAGCCTCTGTTCAATACACATCTTTCAATATTCTGCATTCACTGTCCTTGTTAATAGGTATTTACATTTTTATTATTTCATTTTCTTGAATATAACACTGTGAGAGACCTCCAATAATATTACAAACTAGGGTTGCACAGATACCAAGTACAGTACTCGGTACAAGTACGAGTACATGTACCGATACTTTTGAGCTCCAAGACTACACTAGAGAAAAATTAAAAAATTAGGAGGCAGCTGTCATTTGTAAGGAGCACACGGAGCTCCTGGGATTTGTACATCTCTGTTTTAATGTATGATTTTGTTTTTATAACTATAAATAAAGGGATGCACAGATACCAGTTTTGCGAGTACGAGTACTGGTACTTGCCGAGTACTTACAAGTACGAGTACTGATACATTTTTGTTTATTGTCATGTGACAGTTTTTCTAAAACAATACAGACTAATGATTTCAGGACAGTGGTGGAGTGCCAGAGCTAGGTCCCTGCTGCAACCGCTGCAACCCTGGTAGTTCTCATGAAAATGCCAAGTATCTGCACTGGTACTCAAAAAGTATCTGTGCATCCCTATTACAAACCTAATTATACTGTATATCTGTAAATGCTTTTTCACATTCTGGACAAAGCTCAGCTTTAGCTTACCTGACTCCCACAGCTAAAAAACTATAATCTAACCTGGTTGTGGTTAATCTTATCTCACCAACCTGCAGGCAATAATAATTCACAATACATAGCTGCCATAACAGTTGTTCTTTTGCAAAGAGACATCAAAGTCATTGGAAAAAGCTGCTGGGGTAATTGTCATAGGTTTGCTTTTTTGCAGAAATCAAAACATTTTTATACTTTCGTCCTACTGAATGTTTTCTCTTTATTTATGGGACCTCTTATTTCTTTAGGTTGCACCTTTCCATGTACAAATGCAGCATTAGACATGAATAAACACATGTAAACATTATAAGAATAATTGAAAATATACTTATCTTTCTGCCATGATGCTTAGGTGAGCGTGACATCACAGGCCTTACAGTGAGAATCTAGGAAAGATGTGAATCCCAAATCTTGAGAGAATATACTCTTGCACTGTAGTGATTGGATTTAAATATACTTTAATGTGCATTGATCTAAGAGGTTGAGAAACACTTGATATCATCAGCAAGACAGATGGTATTGACTGGAGATCATGTGTAACTGGTAATGAGTGATTAAAATAGGTAGGCAAATTTAAGGTGCCCATACACTGCACGATTATTGTACGAGAATCGCGGGAAATCCCGCGATCGTACGAGAATCGTGCAGTGTATGGAAGGCGTGCAACCGTTTCTAATGTACGGTCGCACGACTTTTGTATTTCGAGCATGTTGGAAAACCAGCCGAGAATCGTACGATTTTCGGCTGGTTTTTAACATGATCGAGAGATGACTGCCGAATGGGCCGGTGTGCGCACGCGCACACTGCCCGTTCAGCATTGCAGTCATCAGAAGCCCGCCCCTCAGGGGGGCGGGCTTGCGATGATCGCAAGTACGATCTGCCTGTCCAAGATGGGCAGATCGTACGTTTTTTAAAGTACTTTAAAACCCTCGCAAGACTAAAGTCTAAAGGTGCCCATACACTTTACAACCCTCGTAAGACTAAAGTCTTGCGAGGGTTGTAAAGTGTATGGGCACCTTTAGACAGGTAGGATTTGACATACTGTTATACATGGTAAAGGATGAAGTATGAGGAAGAGCATTTCAAACAATGGGGATTGTCTGATCTTGGACCTGCTCATGGGATGAATTAATGAGTTAGGAGGATGTTAGTAAGTCAGCTGAGGAATTGGAAAGTTTGGGCAGTTTGGGGCAGATCGAAAATATATTAAGCCAAACAATAAACCTAAAGCAGTGCACTCCTAACAAGTGTCAACCATCATCTCTCATTGTAGCTGCCCTTTTCTGCATAGTAATGCCTTCTATTTTATTTTTTTCAAATATAGTAAAACATTATAATTGGCATATTGCTGGTCAGTAATATCTCTATGACATTTGACGGAACCTCTGCTAGGATGATATCTCTGCAGTTGATCTATTTTAAAGGTTAAGCACAACAGCAGAGCAGGTATGCTTTAACATAGCACAAAACCATAGTGAATGATGCAGTTATGATATTATTATGGGGTCTATTCACTAAGCTGCCGTAGGCAGCCGAGTGAATGACCGACCTAAAGCGAAGTGAGCCGAACGCACTTCGGCTATTCACTTCAGGCTGGTAAGGCTGATTTCAGCCGTATATCGGCTGAAATCAGCCGTACATCGGGTGGCTTCGCGTGGCTTTGGGTCGGCCGAACATGCCCATCATGTTCGGCCGACCAGAAGTGCAGAAGGAGTTTGACTCAGCTGATCCAACATCTGGATCAGCTAAGCCGAACCTCCGGCAGGCTTCTAACTGCTGTTCGTTCTATTCTTATAGATGCCGAACAGCAGTGAGTGAATAGCCGAATGCCACTGAGCAGCATTCGGCTCGGCTGTTCTGCTCGTTACTTCTGTGGTACCGAGCAGAACAGAAAAATGGTTTAAAAAGTAGAAGAAAATAAATAGAAAACTATTGTGCAGAGCTAGCAGTGACAGCTAGCTCCGCCCAACTGTTTTCTATTGGTGGGAGGTTCTGCTGCCATCAAAAAAAAGAAAGAAAAAAAACTCTCCTGGGCGCTCCAGGAGTCTCCCGCTCCTGGCTGCCAAGGAGAAAAACACTGCTTTTTCTTTTTTTTTCTTTATTCTGACACGGAGCCGTGTAAGAATAGAAAAAATTAATAAATTTTGGCCATAGGAATGCATTGCTGGATTCCTATTGGCTATTGCAATTTGCAATAGCCAATAGAAAACTAGCTATTGTACCTGCCCTCTGATGCTGTCAATCAGTAGTGGTGGACCTGATGGAGAACTGCAGCAGAGGGTGGGTGCAATGCTAGTTTGCTATTGGCTATTGCAAATTGCAATAGCCAATAGGAATCTAGCAATGCATTCCTATGGCCAATTTTTTTTTTCTATTCTGATACGGCTCCGTGTCAGAATAAAAAAAAAAGAAAAAGCAGTGTTTCTCTCCTTGGCGGCCAGGAGCGGGAGACTCCCGGAGCGCCCGGGTGAGTTAGGTTGCCTGGAGATCAGTGTCCCTGGTTAGCTGGTAGCCAGGGACGCTGATCTCTATGCAAGTGGCCGGAGCAAGCCGTAAGATCACGGCTGGCTCCGCCCAGCTGTCAGAAGCAGGCTGAGGCATATGCCTTTGGCTCGACTGAGCTGCTCGGCCAAGTTCGGGAGCTGTATGGGCTATAGTAAATAGCCCGTACATCAGCCCTTCGGTTCTACTGAACCGAAGGGGTCCTGGGGCCGAAGCTAGCCAAAGGCTGCTTCGTGAATAGACCCCTATGTGTTAGATACATGGCAAATCTTATTATCAGATTGTCAGTTAGCTTATTAAACGTATTTGTCAAAAATAATTGCAAATTCTAGGACCATATTGTTACTTCAATGATTTCCGAGGAATATGAGAAATATTACACTGTTTGCACAAACCTTACCACATTGGATGGTGTCCATGTCACATGTTTATTCAATGAGAAATGTAACAACATACAAATATGTTTATAAACAGTTTTACAAATTTCAAAGACCCTCAGAGCCCCCCAAACCCCATGCTACTGATGCTCACCTCTCCTGTGATACCTCACCACACCTTCCTTCATCGTTGATGCCAGTTTTGGAGTTTAGAAGGACATCACCCCCTCAGTCATATGACAATAGTAGCAATTGTTGATAGGGAGTAGTAATTGTTGATAGGGAGTAGTAAACACTGGGCATGACTTTATTGTCATAAATTCTAAAACGCACACTTAAATGGAATGGAAGTTGATGTTGAGCAGACATAAGCATTTGTGCAGTGCACTTAAAGTAGTATTAAATGCTCAAACTAGTGTTCACTAATGAATCCAGAACAAACAAATATACATTGCTCAGCAAAGTATTTCCTTACATATTTTTTCCCAAGCACTCACAGTCATCATTTTTCCAAACAGCTGACTCCAACTCTCTCAGCTCTGCTTCCCTGACCTTCCTTTCCATTACCAGATCACAAGGGGCAAAGCAGTCTTCAGCAACATCTACCAGCTTGGAGAAGGAAGGGGGAGTGGGGAGAAGGGAGCAAGGGAAAGCCTTGCCTTGCTGTGTCTGGGTGTTTGTGGAGACACACACAGCTTACTAGCACTCCATAGGACTCTGCAAGGGAAAGGAGCCACCCTAAAATGGGATATCAGGGCCAGTGCTCAGGACACCAGCTGATTCTGTAGGAAATTCAAACTTTTAAATATCAAGAAGCATCATCCACTGTTAATGATTTGTTCAGCATTTAAAATAGCTTAAAAACCTTTTGAATTTAATATTATTTTCATGAATAACCATCCTGAGAACCCCTTTACGATGCAAAGGAAGTGGTTCTGTGCACTGTCCATACAGATGCAATAACAAATACAGAGAATTTCACCCAGCATGCAGGATAAGAGAAGTGCTACAGTTCAGTGTACATGCATACAGAATAGCAACAGATACTGAGAACTCCATCCAGCACAGAGAACCATAAAAGTGATACAGTTTAGTGCTGGTGCCTACAGAATTCATACAAATGCTGAGAATTACTGTATACCGAGCACACAGGACAAGAGAATAGCTACCATTTACCATTCATCCAGAATAAACACAGTTACTGAGCATTACACACAGCATACAGAACTAGAGAAATGCTACTATGCACTGTATCTTTATACAGAATAAGAGCAGACACTGAGATTTACACCGAGTTTACATGGGACATGAAGTGGTACTGTAATTGTAGAAATGTCACCAGCACACCAATCTTTTTAAGATAGCAAAAGCTTCATTTATTGAAGTTTTTTGTCATATGACAAAAAACTTCAATAAATTAAGCTTTTGCTATCTTAAAAGGATTGGTGTGCTGGTGACATTTCTACAATTGCTGACATTCGCGGCGCCATCCGCGGTCACTGCGAGCACCCCCCACTACAAGGGACATATCGGTAAGGAGTGCGACAAGGATAGTACTTATTATGAAGTGGTACTGTGTCACATTTCAAAAGAGAGAATTAGTACTATGCAATATCGGAATGTAATTATCAAAATTTTTCAAACCAATATGCTCGTCTTTACAAATTATGTTACAGTATAAATGTTGTTTGTTTAAGCAACCATCCTGAAATGAAAAAGGAGAAGCACAGCTGGATGAAGCAAACGCTTCTCGGCCTTTTGGCTAAGATCAAGTGTAGTATCTGTTCTTATCAGTTTTCGGTGGGGAAAAGAACCGTCCTTGCGGGGGATGGTTACTTAGTACTCGCTGGAGGGAAAGAGCGTGTGGGGCGGCTTCCTGTGAGAGGGGAACCGCTCAGTACATGGCTTTCTGACTGAACAGATGCGAAGCTTGGTCTGGCTCGAGGGTTCGGGGGCGGCAGAAGCCTGTGGTGTTGTGCCCCCTGGGGGTGGCGTTCCAGGGGTGCTCAGGAAGTCACTTGGGTGTGGGACCCCACATTGACTCACTGATCACTTGGTCACACACCACCTTGCCTTTTCTGCACATCGCCTCTTGGACAGGCCTTATGGCTAGTCCGGGGCAATATTTTTGCACTCCGGCCCCTAAGGCCTGTCAGCGTGGTGCACTGGCACTTTAGTATTATTTATTGCACTTTATGCACGATGCACGATTGATTTTTTATTATTCAAAAGTTTTTATTATTTTTTCCATTGAGGCATATACAATGACCATCTACATACTACAATGTAACAGAACAACCTAAAACAAAAAAACAAAAACCAAAAAGGACAGTCTTCAGGATTCCTTATTATTCCATCTCTAGTGTCTGGTCTCAACTGTCGACACAAGCTTACCGTTTTTTATTTCGGCTCAAGCTGGCCCCCTGCCCAGCTTCCCGCTCCAAACTTCGGCCTTAGCGGAACTGTTCCTATTTTACCCCCTAAAGATATACCTATGTCCCATCTTGTCATCTTGGGGTTTAGCAGTCGCTCAACCGATGGTCAAAAACCCAGGGACTTGTCGACTATTCTTACCAAAAGCTTGTGTCAGAACAGTCGAGACCAGATTACCAGGTTATCCCTATTATAGTGCCTTACAAAACCTAAAGACATAGTAAAAACAAGAACAATAAAAGCGACAACACCAAAAAAAAAAGGAAAAGAAAAAAAAACAATGTGGTTATATAGCAACTGTTGTAATAGGTTTTAGTTTGAACATATTAAAATTTGTCTCTGGTCGTCAACATAGACCATAACATAAAAAAACGGCATCCAAGGCACCTAGGCACTCTGACGATTGATTTTTTGATTGAAATTTTGCCCACAGATTGCTGAAGGTGCAGGTACCTTCAGGGTTTATTCCTGATGCTGGGAGGAGATTATGTGCCCTCTACGGGGTTCTCTGTCTCCTCCCACCCAGGAGGTGGGTCTCTCTTCGGGAGAGCACACTTGCCAAGTACTATGGGGGACCTGTTTCGGCAGGTCCCCAAAGGAAATGGTCCATCGGCCTTCGGGTTGGTGGACCAAAGTATCTCAACCCCTGTCAGGAGCCTTGCGCCCCGGGGGGTCAGCAAATGGGTCCCTTCTTTATTGAAGGACCTTGCACCCTTGTGCACGTTTTTGTGTGCTGTGATTTCACGGTTCACTAATTTTGTTCACAGGGGGAAGTTTGTTTAGACGCACGTCCACGGGCTTCAAAAATAAGAAGTCTTTAAAAGATTTCAGACCTCTAACCCCCTACCTGAAATTTCTATTGCTATTAATTAAAAACCAACACATTGTTATACAATGACATAGAACAACTTTGGAAGTGTGCAGGAAAGAGTCATATCTTTTAATCTAGCACTTTGTCAGACGATGAAAGCAAAGAGATAGAAAAATGCTTTATAGGTGGTATTAAACAGTTTTAAAGCACCAATAATTCCCCACTGTACAAATATAAACATTACATAATTAAACATTTTATGACTATCACTGATTTTTTTATGTTCCAATGTCCACAAAAAAAAAAAAGATAATTGAATCATTTATCTTACATATAATTCACATCTATGGACCCTCAGGACAACAGTTACGTACTAAATAATAAAACCACAGTGCCAGAGAGAAGAATATAAATGTAGCGATTAAATAGAATTTAATGCAATATAATTGAAAGAGTATATCAAAAGCAGAGAAAAGCAGTGATAAAGACATAAGAGACCATCTAAATTAAAGCAAATATCCTATTACTAGTGATGGGCGAAGTTTGGTTTACTGGATATTCAACCAACACTTGAAAAAAACCTGCAAACCCCAAACACAGAGACCAAAGGGCAACATTAAAAATACACAATTCCCTTCCTTCTCTTCTGTTGTAAAAAATGCACTGCACCATGTTTGCAGATCTGAGCCAAATCTGGTCTGGATATGGCGTGAACAAGCCCTAATAAACTTAAGGGATGCCTTTAACCTACACATAAAGCTGTGCATCTGTACGATGTACTTCTGCAAAAGGGACACTTAGGCCCCATTCACCCCTGCACGTTCCGTGAATGTTTTGTACAGGTTTGGCAGGTGTTCATTGGAAACACAGCAAAACGTACAGCGTGATTGAGGTGCCATTAATTCCTAATGGCACACCACATAAGCTTTTTTGCCGGACACAAATGTGCAAAAATGCGCATGCATGTGATGCACGTTCCCACCATGCACAGGTGTGAATGGGGCCTTAGAAATAAAAATGTATATATATATTGCAACTTAATGACATTTCTGGGCCAGCTTTGTTCAATTTGTTAAAAACTCCAATGGATAAGAATCTGGCATAGATTTAGATTGGGACACCGCACCATGTATTTTATTCTTATGGTCCCTATGTGTGCTGTAAAGTAGCCACCGCTCCAAGATCACTTTGATGATGGACTACAATCTCACGTTTAGTTTACTAATTTGCATTGAAGTTATAGACCATTGCGGGAGCGTGCTTGGACAACACACACAGGGACCATGGGGAACAAAAGTAGCCACCCCCCAGAAGGAAGGACAGTGTCAGCACCAATTCAGAAATGATTTGAGGATCTACAGCCGAGTGATAAACAAATAAGATACATTTTTGGTTATAGTTAGGGTGCATTTTTAAGATTTAAATCCTGAGCTTAGTTTCACTTGAAGACATAACTGAAAGTGGGAGCTACCCAAGTAAGGGGAAAACCCAGATTGGAACAGGTGTCATATATGGTGGTCAGGTTTTCATGTCCGGGACCTCTAGTCACAGAACTTTGGAACCCAATGTAACACCCTTCTGCTTGAATGAAGTATTTTACACAGAAGATTTTCTTGATTTCCTGGCATTGAATATTGCAACACTATGTAATAGGTTTATATGAGATGACTTTATGTCTACCGATGTTGGAAAAAATCCACCTTTTATTTACTTTCCCTTCTTTGCCCATCACTATGTTTGCTGCTGGGATTGAGGACTACTTTGAAAGATTTAAGCTGATCCTAGTCAGAGCTTACACAGTGATGAGAACTTGCTTTTTGTGTGTTATTGGGCTGGTTTTTGAATGGCCATTTGTCAAATATTAATATTGTTACATGGGAGAAATGGGAGTGAATAACATTCCCACATACCCAGACGTAGTGGATATTCTTAGCACTTGGTGGCAAACCAATCAGTTTTTTAAGTTTAAACAGCAACTATGGTCAATGTTAAAAGGAACATGGTGCTTTGCTCTGCATGGGGAGAGAAAAGGTTAGCTTTAGGACAGAGAAAGAGTTATTACAAGGAGGGTTAGTTTAAGTCAGGCCTTAAAGTAGGGTATTGCTCTCTCTACACTGAAACTACTAGCATTGAGAAAGTAAAGCTGAAAGATGATGTTTCAGCATATTCTTATGTCATAATCACACACGCACATTAAAGAGAGGTCAATCAATAACACAGAAAAGAATGCATTACTGAACTGTGATTATATGCTAACCCTTCATTATTGTAACTAATTCATAAATGCAAGTCCACAAAAAAGATACAGTATATAACTATTCCTTAGGTAAACCGTGTGATATAATTGAATGCACATCAGGACCTACACCTCCATTGCACTATATTATTGCCTAATGTATGCTTTTCCATTTGAACTATGTCCAAGGTTGCCCAAGTACAAACCTGCCACCGCTCATGAGTTTAAAATCCAAGCCAATATCCATAAAATCAAAACAAAGTTAAGCAACTTAACAAATGGCAGAAATAGCTTTTTAAGGATTCACAAGGGTGCATTTGGTTTCTTTGATGTAAGCAGCTATCATGGAAAGATTGATGTTTAGTGGCATAGTAACATTTCACAAGGCAGCTGTCTGCTCAATAATAATGGAAATGTGCTATCTATCTTCATTGTGTTCCATTAACATGCACCTCAAATCTATCACAAATAATGTCTACAACTCCACTATGTAACTTAATATCACTGTCAGTTAAATACTCTTAATTATTTCCGCTCATATGCTCTCTGTTATGGCTTTTAATTTCAAACTATTTTTTTATGCTTCAAACCTGATTGAGGAACACATTGCAATGCTGGCAGCCAGACCTTTATCTACAACTAAAATGTTGTGAAGAAAAGTAGTTTATGTGCTTTCACAGCTGTCAAAACACAATTTACACAAGCCTTGCATTTTGTGTGCATTATGTACATTGAGGAAGCTGCGGCTGCATTACAAACTCAAATCTAAAACGGGAAAAAAAATGTTCCCTGCAATTTATGACATCTGTTTAAATGAACATTTCCTGAGACTTGTATCATTAAGGTTGCAGTTTGTCACACCGGTTTGAAGTTTGTGTTTCTATACTACTTGCAAACTGTGCTTTGGAACATTAGAAGTGAAATGTAACTTTTTTTTGCTTGTTAACAAGTATGAAAGTATAGAAAAAAAGGATACATCTTTTTTTTACCATGTCTAAAGTCTGACTCAATGTTTACTCACTCAATTGAAGTCTCATGCCTTTGTATCATTATAATCCTGTAGCCCCGCATGTTATATGTTATGATTTGTAAACAATGTTTAGAAAATGCCTTAAAATACCCTTTTTAACTTAGTGAATAGTCACAGCTTTCATAACATATGTGCTTACAAAGACTTATATAACAGAGAATGGGAGAGAATGTGTCTGACCTGACTTAGTCTGACTAACTCTGGTGCCTATTGACCATCACAGTCATATTCAGACACCTTGCACAGCTGTAATAATAAAGTAGAGGTAAGCAGTGGGTTCACAAGGGTGAGTGCGGCCCAAACCGCGTGACACCAATAGAGGAGATGAAACCAAAAAGACTGGCAGACATTTAGGTGTCACCCCCTCTGAAAAGTCAGGCACTTGGTCATGGACTGAGAGCCCGACAGTTGCATGAGAGAGGAGGGGACCCTCATGGAGATGGCCGCTGGCAGTTAAGTGCGAATGACGCCATTACACGCATGTGTCATGACATGCCGGTGGGTGACACCCAGCGGCTGCTCCAGGTGACACCAAGTTTAGGGATGCCTCTGTAGGTAAGGTTTGGGAAATGGAGGTTGTTAGTACAAAGTAGGGATGCACTAATACCAGTTTTTCAGTATGAGTACAGATACCGTAAGTTCCATTAAGGAAGCGAGCGGCATGTAATGACTCCCCGCTTGCTTCCCAATTACCCGGGAAGCCTTCTCCATGCTCCCTTGTCACCAGGTGACGGGGAAGCATGGAGCCGGCTTTCTGGAGAATCAGGTTTCTGGCTAATACAAGTGGTCTTCATGGAAGAATTGTGGCCAAAAAGCCATACCATCTGCTATACTATCAGTGAGGCATGTAATTGGCCCCAAATGTATTGTGCAACAGGGCAAGAACTCCAAACATACAGCCAACATCATTAAGAACTATCTTCTTAATGCAAAGAAGAACAAGGAGTCCTGGAAAAGATGGTTTGGCCCCCACAGAGCCCTGATTTCAACATCATCGAGTCTGTCTGGGAGTACATGAAGAGACAGAAGGATTTGAGGCAGCTTACATCCACAGATCTCCAAGATGTTTGGACCAATCTACCTGCAGAGTGCCTTCAAAAAACTGTGTACATGTGTACCTAGAAGAATTTGTCACACCATTCATATATTAGTTTCACCTTTTAAGTTGCATTAGAGAAATAAATGAACTTTGCACGATATTCTAATTATTCGAGTTTCACCTGTATATGTATATATTTTTTTAAAATATGTGATATCACTAGTCCATTACCCACAGCTCTCAAGATGCTGTAGGGGGATCGGTGAGGATCACAATAGCCCATTGGCCAGACCTACATGTATTGCAGAACCTTGAATGATAATTGCAAAAAATCTCCTTTAAAATCATTCCAAATGGCAATGAGGATAGTAAGATAAAAAAAATGTTATATCCAAAAGAGCTTTAAGCAGCACCTCTATACCCTCAGAGCCACCGGGATCAAGCAAAGTTTAAGTAGTGTCTAAAAATCAAAACTTGCCACAGCTAAAGTCCTTAATAACTGTGCTTAGTCTATACTATATAAAATATTGAGATGTTGGTACCTGAAATAAACTAAAATAGAAACATCTGCTCCTGATTTGTAAATGAGTGGGCTTAAAATGAAAATGATCTTGGCTAGAGGTTAAATATACCCTTTTAAAGCATGTCTAAACCCACAAACAAAAGTGTGATATATTGCAGCTTACCAAGCCTTAAACGTGGTGACTGCATAAGTTTTCTTTTTAAAGTGATACTAAACTCAGGGGTTAAACCTTAAAAATGAATTCAAGTACCTTATCTATTAACAAAAATATTCCTTATTTGTGTATCACTTGGCTGAAGATCCTCAAAGCATCTCTGAATTTGTGAAACTGTCCTTCCTTCTGGAAGGTGGCTACTATTGCTTCCCATGGTACACCTGTGTGTTGTAAAGTAGCCACCGCTCCAAGCTCCCTGAACTGGACTTCAATCTTAATACAAATTAGCAAATTAAACATGAGATTGCAGTCCATCATGGGAGCTTGGACTGATGGCTACTTTACAAGAGACACAGGAACCATGGGGAACAAAAGTAGCCACCCTCCAGAAGGAAAGACAGTATCACCATGAGTTTAGTGTCACTTTAATGCTTTCTTTATTTCTTTTCTTTATTTTCACCTCGTGATCTGGCCAGTAACACACTTCCTGTCATATGGTGTTTGGTAGCAGCATTGCCAAACTGTGAAGTGGATAGTGTTAGTTGCACTGGCAGATTTAGATGGACTTGATTAACAAATTAAATCTGAACACCAGCTAACACCTTTTAAAGAGTTACAGCAACAGTTTTTTTTTTACATAAGGTTTTACATAAATTAATACAAGCTGACCACTGTAAGCACCCCACCCAGTGTTAAATGGTTTGTCTCACTGTCACTTTTGTTGGGCAGCTTGGCCTGTTAAAGGAAGTTGAAAAATAACAGGCTAATTACTGGCCGGATCACCAGGGAGAGAAAAAAAGAGCAAACTAATGCAGCCACCAGACCTTAGAATTGGTAAACTGCAAAATATGACATTTTTGGCTTTTGAGTTTAGATATGCTTTAACAATAGCATTCCAGTATCTGAAGTTTAATAGTTTTCCTGAACAAATACTCAATCTCAGAGTCAACTTCCATTGGAGGCTCCTCACACTACCAATTCAGTTCACAATGGTTTCCCTTCAAAAATGCAGATTCACATACTCAGTGCAGGATGCTGACATGAAGCAAAAGACAAAGTAGATTCCCATGGGTTGGATATCGATAGATTCATTGATTTATTTGTTTCCTTTTTGTTAAGTCATCAGCATAATCATATCCAGAAGAGAGAGAACTATGCAAATTATTGCAGGCTAATGTTAGTTCACAATATTTAAGTATCCATTTACTCACCATATATTCACTGATGTGATCACTGTGAATCAGTGGTCATTTTTAAGCTAATGTAGAGGTACATCAGAGGATTCCGATATTTAGAGAGTGGTAACCTTTAAACATTTTAATGATGTGCAAGTGCTGAGTATAAGTTGACCTTTGTCTCTCTGGAACACTCAGCTGATTGATATACCTGTTAATAAATTCCAGCAGAGACTTATCTACACTTACCTGCTCACTTAGGCAATTCTCCTGCCAAATTACTATAACAAGCAGCTCGAAGACTGTTCAGTTATGCTCTGCAATATGTTTGCATTTCAAAGCATGCTAATGTGCATTCTTCAAAGTGTTAATAGTTGCTAATAGCTGCTTGATGCATTTGCTGTATGAGTGCTGAATTTAATTACATTAGTTTTGCACTCTTTCTATTACAATGTATTGTTAATTATTCTCTTGCCTATTGCCAGTCTTTATATATAATGACTTGAAGTTGATTTCAGGCAGACATAAAAGGCAAACGTTAATACAGCTCTGTATTTATTGAAACATTATTTTTTGAATTCAAACAGGGTAAGTGTGGCGGACCGCCTGGTACCCCCGACTGGGTACCTCCGTCAGAATCCAACTTTCTCCACTGTGGAACCAGAAGATATTGTATAAAGCAAAGGCTTACCCCAGACAGCACTGATTTTGGAGTATAAACAGGAACTCGTTTATTGAAGAAAATGCACAGAGTTTATACCCTACAGAATCAGATAAGAGTTGGACTATGTTATCTTGAACAGCCGGGTGCCTGCTTTGAACTTCCTTAAGCAGAGACAACCTTTGAACATAATGAATGTCCTTAATCAGAGAAGAGATTAATCACATCATCCTAAACAATGCCCACCACAGATATCCTGCTGCCTTCACAGAAATACCTTGAGCAGAGACACCCATGTAACATAATGATAGACTTTCTGGAGTGATCCCTGCTGGTCCCTGTCACCACACAGTTCCATAAGAGTCAGGCTGGGGATCAGGTTAGGCAGAAATGGTATATTCAGACAAGGTGGAAGTCTGGGTGGGCAAAGTAGTCAAATAGTGACAAGCTCTCTCTACATAAAATATTAAACAGGCAAAGCATACAGCCCGCAAAGTCCTCTGGGGTAATACATTCCTGCAGCCCTAGGCCTGTGACAGTTCCTTGTAACCTAAGAGGTCCGAGAGGGGGTTCCCATAGTCCTGGGTCCATAGTCACTGAGAAGGAGACTGGCTCCCAGGCCCCTCCAGGAGCCCAGGTGTCACCTACCTGGTATGGTCTGAATGATGAGGGAGGCTCCTTTTGTAACTCACGTCAGAGCACCCCTGGAGATGGCACAGGTAGCGCACGGACAGAGAGAGACACCAGTGCCTGTGGATGCTGATCACCTGCTGGTAAGGTGCCAGATGCAGAATTCAGGATTCAGGCAACCAGATGCAGGATGCAGGAAGCTGGATGCAGGATGCCAGATGCAGGATGCAGGAAGCCAGATGCAGGATTCAGGATTCAGGCAGCCAGATGCAGGATGCAGGAAGCCGGATGCCAGATGCAGGATGCAGGCGGACTGGGTTAGTGGCTGGCAGGCCAGGAGTATCTGGATGGTAGACGTGGTCAGTAGAAGCTGGGTCAGAACCAAACAGACAGATCGGAGTTGAATCAGGAGGCAGAAGAATAGTCAGACAAGCCGAGGTCAGAAGGCAGACAGCAGACAGCAGGAAACAGGAGCAAGCCGGGTCAGTCACAGGATTCAGATACAGGAACACAGGTACAGGTACAGCTGAGATCTTCCAGCAACTATCAGTTGCTGCTTGGGGTTTAAATAGGCTGATTGGTGCCAATTCGTGCAATGGGTGCGTGCGCACGTTGCAGGCGCTTATGCACGCGCACATGCGCAGTTACTGCTCGTCTGTCACTATGCACGTTTCTGCGTGCCATAGTGTGTGTAGTAACTCGAGCCTCCTTATGCTATGGGCATTAGTTCTATGTTCCTGACACCAGGTCATGTAGGGTTATGTTACTGTAGGTACCTGAATTTGACTTCAAAGCCTCTTGCACTCTACTTTACCATCTGTACAGCAGAGTTCAGAGAGGGGTAGGGAGAAGCAACACAAGGAGACAATCAGATGTGTTGCAGGAGGAAATGAGAAAGGAAAATGCACAAAAAGAGAGATGAGCTCATCAGTGTGCTGTTTCTCCTTTCACTCTCCAGTCACAGGATGGGAATGAGGAGTAAACCTGTGAAAGTGAAACAGTTGCAGAGAAAAAGCAAGTCTTCTATAGAATTCTGTGTCAAGTCAGAAATTTTTACCTGCAGATTTGTGAGTTAGTGACTCAGAGTATTGAATACAGTATGGCAGTCAGGCAGCTATCAATTGCAGAATGAGAAGACAGCAGTGGAATCCTTCACCATTGACAGCTGCAGCCAGGTAAGACATCCCCCGAAAATAAGACCTAGTGTCTTTTTTTGTGAAAAAAATAAAATAAGACACTGTCTTATTTTCAGGGAAACACGGTAGTAGGCCAGCAGAGGTGGCATGAGCTGATAATGGTGGCAGGCCAGCAGTCATAGCAGAAGCTGGTGGTGGTGGCAGACCAGCAGAGGTGACAGGTGGCGGTAATGGTAGCACACCAGCAGCTGTGGCAGGAAGTGGTAATGGAGTAAGCTATATTTTTTTCTTTTTTTGGACCAGATTATGGAAAAATTTAGTAATTAACATCAGCTGCAGGGGCTTTGTAAGCATTGCTGATCAAGGAATGGTTAATTTTTATGAAAATAAGCCAGTCAACTGTGTGAAGGGACAGGTGTACTTGTCTCTCTGTCAAAAAAAACTGACTTCTACGCTGAATGCCCTCTCTAGCACCACACTGGCTGCAAGTCAACATCTTCATTGCATATCATGCAAGCTCCCAGCCAGTAGTTCAACCTGTACTCAGCTAACCCTCCTAGTATTGAACACATTTTCAGCATTGATGAGAGATATTGCCAGCAGTTTCAAATGCAAAGTACATGCTATTCTCATAGCTATTAAGTGATATTTGATGGCTGTTCCTTGGCTGCTGTATTCTCCCAGTTCACACATATCCTAGTATAATTGTATTATAATTGTTTATTTAACCGTGTTGTGCTTATATTTCCTTACTAACAAATGAAAAAGAAACAGATTTATCAATATATAAATAGGACTGTGAGAGCCAATGAGAAAGGAATTTGATTTTAGCTTTAATTTAATTTTTCCTGTGAGTGCTTAAGTTACTATTTATTTGTTAAGGGTTTTTTTACCTTTTAAAATATATTTTCCCCCCTGTGAATTGAAGAAAAATATTGTTGTCCCATGCTCATTTATTATTAACACACTAATCTGTGCAGGTTATAAAAAGTGTCACATTAGTAAAGCTCAATAGATTCCCAGCTTGCTGCAGCAGCATTCTTTCTGTCATCGCTAACCGTTACTGTGCTAATGTTAAAAGCTCAACCATGGATACTACCTAATTTTATATTTATGGAATAATTTTAATGCTCATGCTAACAAGTGTGTCCCGGAATAAAATATATTATTCTGTAACCTGTATTTGTATTTAAAGTAACATTTACCTAAGATTGTATTCATGCTTTGTGATAGTTAGGTCAATAAATTACTATTGTAATATGTGGTTAAAAAAAAAATAGTGTCCTTCTGTAGCCTTGCTGCCTTTTCATGTCCTTGACACTGTACTGTGCTGTCTTTAAGCCCTTTTCCATCGTGCCACAGTGGTAAATGTAATTTCTGACGTTGAACAAGAGTCCTCCTTAGCTCCCACATGCCTCCGCCAAACTCTATCTAATGTATTGACAAGTGTACTGTATATGTGTTCCGAACCGGCCTATATTTAAAAATATGTCACATATGTAAGACACTTACTGTTTTTTAATATGCCTGTCTGTATTTGTTTTATATTCTTTTGTTGGACATACTTTCCCTATGGATTATGACAGTCTTTTGTGACTATGGGAGCTATATGCCCCCCTTACATACTGTACCAGGAAGTGTGCTGCATTTTTTTAAATGAGGAATTCAAGGCAAGGGGTTAATTTTTCAGGATACTATTTAGGCACAATTAACATATGTAAATTGTCCTTATAACATAGGAAATCCTTACTTGTGGAATTAAAGTGACACTAAACTCAGGAGTTCAATCTTAAAAATGCAATCAAGTACCTTAATACACAAATAGGCTACAAAAATGTAGCTTGTGTATCACTCAGGTGTAGATCCTCAAATCATCTCTGAATTCATGCTCACCCTATTATTCCTTCTGGAGGGTGGCTACTTTTGTTTCCCATGGTCCCTGTGTGTGTGTTGTAAAGTAGTCAACACTCCAAGATCACTCCTGTGATAGACTACAATCTCAATACAAATTAGTAAACTAAACGTGACATGGTAGTCTATCATGGGAGCGAGCATAGAGTTTGAATGAGCTAGAGCATTCATGTAAATTAATTCATTTTTAAGATTTAACTCCTGTGTTTAGTGTCACTTTAAGGTCCACTTTTTGCCCCCACTTCCCAGAAGCATACACACACACACCTTGCCTTCATTCCCCTCCCACTCCAATAAGCCACCATGAAAAGGAAGTCCATGTAAACTATAGTTACTCTATCTAGAGCTCATGCAGGATTTGGGAATCTCTCCCCATCCACATGTGACAACACTGTGCAAATCATCAAACACTAGTACTGTTATATAGAAGAAGGGGAGTAAGTCACATGATCTTCCATACCTGGATAAATCGGGTATTTTAAAATGTACCCAAGGCCGAAACATTTGAGTTTTGTGTAGAGTGGGCATGAGTGGGAAAACCTGTTAGGTAAAATTCTGAGATCAATCACTAGAAACAATAAATCAACAGCTTCTTTATCATCAAATGACTAATTTTCATTGAACCTCCTCTGGGAAATAAGTTAGGAAATTAAAAGAATAAAAAAGCCCAGTACAGCTTGTACCTTTATGTAATGAACATTTAAATACATCTAGCTTTATTATTGAGAAGAAACCCAAGATGCATAATCATGATGGACTTTAAAAGCATGATTTGTAGCCGCTGCTGACATATTCATGTTTTAATGCAATTGTTCTAAACCAATGTTTGAACAGGCAACAATCTCTGCCAGCTTACAATACACTTGGCTGGCCAGGTGCCCCATCCGCTATGCTTCAAGATGCATAATTCAAAAAAGGGTCTCAGATAATAGGCTTTCCCAGAAGCTGAGCTCTTAAGTGTTTTGGAAATTCTTGCACATTTGCATTTGCATTTTCAAAACATATTTCATATATCGCTCTTTCACAGTTCCAGAGATATTATAGGCTGAATTGGGGATAGATAGAAGCAAAACTTGAACAGATTAACTACTTGAAAGAATAGCATCTAAATGGAGCGTAACATTTTAGGCATGTCAAGTGTTTTTTTTATTGCAAAAATTACTATTCTGAATTTTATAGTTCACCAGTTATTTAGAGAAACGTTTATATTATATATGATTTAGGTTTTTCTGCAAGTAGCTAATTAAGCAGCATGTTGCCACAGTGGGTAACACACCAATGGTTGCAGAGATGGTGCCCTGGGTTAAGTTCACATCAAGATACAACCTGCATTATGTTTTTATTTTCTCCTTGTATTTGTTTGGGTTTGCTCCAAATAAATCACTTTTCTCAGAGAAGCTTACTAATAGGTAATAGTATATATGTAAACCCTAACCATGAGCTTTTCTTATTTGCTCTCTTTTTATATGTTAATATGTCCTTCCTTTTGGAGGGTGGCTACTTTTACCCATGTTCCCGGTGTGTGTTGTAAAGTAGCCACTACTCTAAACTTGCTCCCGTGATAGACTACAATCTTAATACACATTAGTAAACTAAATGTAAGATTGTAGTCCATCACAGGAGGGAGCTTGGAGCCGTGGCTACTTTACAACACACAAAAGGACCATGGGGAACAAAAGTAGCCACCCTCCATGAGGAAGGACAGTGTCAGCACCAATTCAGAGATGATTTCAAGATCTACAATCGAGTGATACACAAATAAGCTGTTCATAGTTAAGTTTACTGAATGCATTTTTAGGGTTAAATCCTGAGTTTAGTGTCACATTTTTGTCAGTTTATCTTCTGTCTGTATCTAGTCAGTAAGATTTTATTTCACTACTTGCTTGAGATATACAGCAGAAAATAAGACACTATGGGGTTTGTTTACTAAAGTCAAATAGCCTGGTCAATTTGCAAGGGAATTTGCACTTTGCAGGGGAGGTTCCCACTTAGTTTAGTGAATAAGGTAAACTCTGCTGCTTTTCATCATCCAATCATGCAAAGTTATTGTTTTTTTATTTTCCTTTGTTAGTAAGAAAGGCTTCCATCTTGCCACCCTACCCCACAGCCCAGACATATGAATAATATGGGAAATTGTTGTCACATGTAGGACACAACCAGTACTTGCCGGAAATTCCTGCAGCTCCTTTAATGTTGTTGTAGGCCTATTGGCGGCCTCCCGGACCAGTTGTCTTCTTGTTTTATCATCTGTTTTGGAGGAACGTTCAGTTCTTGGTATTGTCACTGTTATGTCATATTCTCTCCACTTGTTGATGGTTGTCTTCACTGTGTCCCATGGTATAAATTGTTGGCCCTAAATAAATACCTGTAAAAAATAAATAAACAAATAAATATTTATTGCTTTGGAAAAAATGTTGTACCCTTCTCCTGACTGATACCTTGCAACAATAAGATAACTTTGATGCCTTGTAAGCTCTTTACAGATAATGGCTTTTGCTGTAAAGGTGCCCATACACTGGACGATTCTCGTACGAAAAGGGAAATCCTGCGATCGTACGAGAATCGTGCAGTGTGAATGAAGACGTGCAACCGTTTCTACTGTACGGTCGCATGTATTTTGTCTAAGGAACATGCTAGAAAACCAGCCGAAAATCTTTCGATTTTCGGCTGGTTTGAATGATGCTCGGGAGACAAATGCCAAACGGGCCGGTGTGTGAGCATTACGGTAATCGGATGATCGCAAGTACGATCTGTCTGTCCAAGTTGGGCAGATCATACTTTTTAAAATTACTTTACAACCATCGCAAGACTAAGGTCTTGTGATGGTTGTGAAGTGTATGGCCACCTTAAGAGGCAACTGTGTAAAGGTGCCCATACACTGCTCGATTCTCATACGAGAATTGCGGGAAATCCCGCGATCGTACGAGAATCGAGCAGTGTGAACGGAGATGTGCAACCGTTTCTACTGTACGGTCGCACGTCTTCCGTCGAGCCAGCATGTTCGAAAACCAGCCGGGAATCGTACGATTCTCGGCAGGTTAGAACGGTGCTCGGAAGACAAATGCCGAACGGGCCGTTGTGCGCACGCGCACACTGCCTGTTCAGCATTGCGGTCATCGGAAGCCCGCCCCTCAGGGGGGCGGGCTTGCGATGATCGAGAGTGCGATCTCCCTGTCCAAGATAGGCAGATCGTACGTTTTTTTAATCCCTGTACAACCATCGCAAGACTAAGGTCTTGCGATGGTTGTAGAGTGTATGGCCACCTTAAATGTCAGAAAAATCCTACTGGAACAGCTGAACTTTATATGGGCCTAATCAGAGTCACTTTAATTGATAGCAGGTGTGTACTGACTACTATTTAACATCAGTTTGAATGTGATTAGTTCATTCTAAACACAGACACATCCCTAATTATAAGAGGGTGTGTACACTTATGCAGCCACATTATTTTATCTATTACTTTTTTTGTTTCTCACTAAACAATTTCAGTTTGTAGTTCAATTGACTTGTTCAGATTATAGATCGCATTAAAGCTGGAAAAAAAAATCTGAAGTGATTTATTATTATTATTATTATACAGGATTTATTTATCTTTTTACAGGGGTGTGTAGACATTTTATATCCACTGTACATCATAGATAGCCTAAGTTGGTAAGACAGTACAACCTATTCTTCCTTATTTAAATGTAACACAACAACATGTGCAGGAATGAAAGTGCATGGATATTTATGTTAAGTGCCGTACCTTATTAAATATGGCTAAAAGTTCCTAAATTTGTAAGGTACTGGTCTAATATTTATATTCAAAATTGTTAAATGTTTTAGAGTAAAGATTTAAACAGTTCCTTAAATTGAAAGAATAGTCTTTTAAATAGCTAAAAGTTTTTTTTTAAGTGCCACCTTTTTAATTGGAACCCATCTCCATGGATACAATTATACTAATGCCAATAGTTCACAAAGAGGCAGTAGAAAAGCATGGGTCTAAATGATTTTTAATTATAAACAAAATGATAGACGATTTTCAATGCAGCTCTGTTTTAATACAGTAATTATAATGATTGTTGTAGACATCTAAAAAAGTGTACACTGTATAATAATCTGCCAATTATGTCATAACAAATTGTAATCCAGATTCCACTTGCTGCCAGTAATTCTGTTTTTGTTCCCTTAAATGTGCATATCATTTCATCATGCTGTACAACATGTTTACCCTAATCAAAAATGGTAATGTAAAACCCAAGATCAATTAATCCATGGTGTGGGCAAATACAATCTTAAGCAATTGAATTAAGTAAACCTTCCTCCGGAGAGCTTCAAATAGAAGAGAAACTTACTAAAACCAACCAGAACTAATTATTTTCTGATTAATCCTCCAGAGTGACATATAATCAGTATTGCACAGATGACAGAATGAATTATGTCAAATAATAAAAAAAAAGCATCAAGGTATAATTTAAAGGTAAAACATTTTGTTTTACATTTGACCTTTGTTACGTCTTGTGTTATGAATATTTTAATCAACTTTAAGATGTAGTTAAAGGTAGTTCAGTGCACTCATATTTAGTTATAGAGGCTTCCCACTTTTAGCAAGAAAGTTGTTCTGCTGAATCCTCTGCCAATGGGGTTGATTTACTAAAGGCAAATAGGCTGTTAACTTTGCAAGGGGATTTGAACTTTGCAGGTGAAGTTTCCCTTATCTTAGTGAATGTGGTGAAACTTCACTTTATAAACAATACCCAATTATGTCCAAGGAAAATTAAAAAACAGCATTTTTTAACTTGATTGGGTGATGGAAGTCAGCAGAACTTCCCCTTATTCAATAAACTAAGGACAAACTTCCCCTGCTAAATGCAAATTCCCTTGCAAAGTGAACAGCCTATTTGCCTTTCGTAAATATACCCCAGTGTGCGTATAAGAAGAAATTTGCTTTGCTCGGACTTACACAAGAGTTCTCCGAGTGGTCTAAATTGGCTGGTTCTATTCACTCAGTACTAGGCTGTTAATTAAAAAGCCCTTTAAATTAGATCACAGACAGCACCCTAGGTATACAAACCAGCCTACCAGCCTACCATTTTGACTTTAAGAAAAAAAAGAACTCATGGGTAATCATGTGATTAAAGCTGTTTTAAATCCTAGCTGAATGCCAAATGCAAATGAGTAGCCCATTAAAAGATAAAATACCAAAACTAACTTTTGCTGAAATATTCACCTTCATTGCAAAGATTTCATCTGCAGTACTATTTTACTGCCACTAAGGGGATTATTCATAGCTGAACTGGAAAGTAAGCTGAATTGGAGAATGTTTCCAAATCAGCTAGATTGTTCACTTCTTCGGCCTCCTCCAAACTCTTCACTCTTTTGTGAATAACCCTGTTAGTTTCCTAATGAACAAAGCACAGTACCAATTACATGAAAGCTGCAAATGTAAAGCTGAACTACTTCCAAAATAAAAAATATTAAAATGCAGTCTGCCATTAGCAATAACCCAGCAGTTTGTGTCTTTCTGAATAACTCCTGTAAGGTAGTTTTATTACTGTCTGCTTCTGCAGGTACATACATTATTTTTCTACCTTTTTTAACGGGGTGACAAAAATGTTAATTCTGCAGTGAAATTACACAGTAGTGTTATCACCTTGTGGAGAAGGTAGTCTTAGATAGACTTGTAAGTAGGGGACAAGCAAATCATAGCCTAACTCCAGCTAACACTTTTTAAACAGTTACAGCAACAGGTTTGATTTTACCCTTGTTTTGCTGGAGAGCTTGGCCTGTTACATAAAGTGGAAAAATAATGGGCTACTGGCAGGATCAACAAGTAATAAAATGATATTGTAGAAAAACAAAAACTGTGTTAATGCTGGAGATAGACTCCATCACATATGTATTTTTTTTATTTTGCCCATAGTTCCAACATGATTGTATTGAAAATGACTTTTGAAATAATATTCAAATGTTCACATGGGCAATAATTAGAGTTGTCCCCCGTCCTTTGCTCCTTCAACAGCCTCCACTCTTCTTGGAAGGCTTTCCACAAGATTATGGTTTGTTTCTGGGGAAATTTGTGTCTGTCCAACCAAGTGTGGTCAGTACCTGTCCACTCTTTTGAGTGGTCAGTTGTTGATGCTAGACCTTGCTCACAATCAGCCTTATATTTCATCTGAATGGTGTTCAGTGGGGTTGAGGTGAGGGGTCTTTGCAGGCTGCTTGAGTTCTTCCACACCAATGTTATCAAAACATGTCTTTATGAAGCTGCCTTTGTGGACAGAGGCATTGCCATCCTGGAACAGAAAAGGGCATTTCCCAAACTGTTGCCACAAGGCTAGAAGAGAACACAGGTACAATGGTCTGTCTACTGTAGCATTAACAGTACCCTTCACTGAAGACATTTAGATGGAGTGTTCAAATACTTTCCCTTTGACTTTGCACTATATACCGTTTTGTGCATTACCCGATCTCAGACCAAGGGTCAAGTTTTAACCTTGTGACTGTCATTGTCACCTTGAAGATTCACTTCCTGAATCTTTCTCTTTTCTTTTTAAGCCTCTGCTTCTAAGGACAGTGCATTTAATTATTTCAAACCTAACAGGCATATGGTGTTTCTGTACAAATGGATTTACAAGATACTGCACCATTCAGACTGTGGCAAGCAAGTACAAAGAGTAGCTTTGTCAGCTCTATTACTGCAATAGGTATGTTTCATTTTATCTTTAATTTATACTTGCCATGGAGCTTTTAGATGAAGGGCAGGGAAGGCGTACAGTAATTCTATGCAGCTTACTTTTAACTGAAAACTATTTTAGTGAAGCTGCAAGTGGAGATGCTGGGGTTAGCTTTGTCAGCTGTCTTCATGAAAGAATGTTTAATTTTCTTCTTGATTATACTCTTGCTGCAGTGTAATATAGACAAAAGTAACAAGGACATATTGAAAGATTTAATATAACAGACCTTGTATGAAACAACAGGAGTTAAACAAAAAAAGAAAAGAAAGTTCTGTTAGTTTTGGAATCAATAGGGTAGAGAAGATAATAACGCTTGATAACATAGTACCAGAAAAGTCTTTAAACTGAAATGCCAGAAAATATATGTTGTGGCTGGGCATTATAGGACACCCTGCAATGATAAAAGTTAAATTAGAGAGTGTTCTCTTTTTTGTTCTGTAATAACATTTTAT